TAAAAATCCTTACTTTCTAGACATGCATGTCCAATGGATCTCTTGGACTCTATTAGGTCAAGATGAGGGTTTCTTGGCCAAATCTTCCATGCATGATGCTAAAACTCAATGTTATTCCAGATCCAAAAGCATCTAAGGTCGAAAATGACCTGGGGATTCATAAAGTTGTATGCTTTATGAGATCTCACCACCCAATAATCAAGAACATGAAGATTAATGCGTAGAAACCTAGATTTATGCACAATAAACCAAAAAGCTTGGAACTTGGGGACTTACAAGAGTCCAGAAGATGCACAATAAGATGGTGAGAATAATTGCTTGCTGAATCCAAGCCTAGAAGTCACCTCCTTCCTTTTCAATCCAAAAAAATCAACACAAAAAGATTAGAGAGCAAAAATGGAGGCAAGGGTTTGCTTGGAGGCTGAGAGAGTGTGATGGAGGCTGAGGGTGAGCAACCCTAGCCATCACATTCCCTTAAATACAGCGCAAACCCTGGATATTAGGGTTTCTCATTAAACATCTTCTACGCCATGGCAGCCATTTTAAAACCCGCAGTACAATGTCCATCACCACGCCGTGGGATGCCTTCTCCACGACCAAAATCCAAAATATAATAAATTAAAGTACCTCTAAGAATCTGGATGTTACATCATTAATGCAACTTTCATTTTAATTTTAAATTTTCTAAATTAAAGCTCACTTTTTGTATGTGTTATGTTCTGTATTTCCAATCTTTTTTTTTTTCAGTTGTGGCATCCATTAAATACAAACCAATAATTTGTAACTTTCTTTCACATTCATTCCTCTACTATAGTTCTTCAGGTTCTCTTACAAATGATTTAATTATTGTACTTTATAAATCATAGCGATGTATGTCTCATCTGGTGGCATCTTATTCTATTACGTTGACACTAGAAAGGATAGGGCCACAATCCACAAGCACCAACAAAAATAGGACCGAAGTATATTAATTTTTGAGAAAAAAAAGGCATTTAGCCTAGCAGTAAGGAGTGATCTTCTCAATTGAAAGGTCATGAGTTCAAGTCTCACTTGATACATAGGTGGTAGTTAGGAGTAAATTAGATTGCCATTTAAAAAAATAATTTTTGAGAAATAAATGAAAGTAATTTATGAATATTAGAAAGCAATAAGAGAGTTTGGAACAAGAAAAAATAATTTTAGATTAAAAGGAATTAGGAGAACGATACTTACTTTGATGATTGTTACTTTTAAGGAAAAACAATTTTTTTGAAAGTAGGATCGTTTTTAGCAATGTGCATTGGAATTTGACAATTTTCATTTTGAGAAGAAAAAATTCTACACACCATTATAATACGGGTACTACTATTAATATCCCGATTTCCTTAACATACCCCACACATAATTACTTTTTTGTACTACTATTAATCCGCCACAAACCATCAACGACAACCCTACCGCTGGCCACCTATCCCAAAAGACCGGGAAAGACACATAACAAGGGGGAGAGACAGACCAAGAGATCCCTAGCCGACCACAATGGAACCGCCTGATCCAGAGCTCGAAAGAGCATATACGGCCACCAACCGACATCCATATCAAGACAAAGAGAAATAGAAAGGGGAAGAGAACACCACCGTTAATAACTGTCAGATTTGTACTGGTCACCGTCGGACCACCGTATCATGTCTATCCCCGACACATCTCGCAGAACACCACCCATCCACAATCTCAAATCTTCTTCTAATCTACGACCAAAGCAACGCCGGCTATTGCTTCTTTTCCCATTATCACCGGCGTAACACCAACCAGACAAACGGAGGATATGAGAAAAAAATGACCGGAAAAGAAGCAACATCTGGCGTTGCTTTGGTCATAGATTAGAAGAATCTGCTAACCCTAAAAATCTTATTCTAATGACCATAGACAAAATCTACTAACCCTAAAATCTTATTTTATATATATCAAAATATTTACTTTTAAGCCCATAGAATATATCGAAACATTTACTTTTAAACCCATCATGTCATTGTTACATATTTTTACCCAAATTACAAACAAAAAACTCCTCGTAAATTTTTTTATGTATTTTTCATATTAAATTTTATTAGTGTTTATTTTTTATATTTGTTGTGGCGTATTTCTTTTAATTAAATACAAAAATTTATGTATTTTTGAACATATAAAAGTTAATAATATAAATAAAATATAAAACATGTTTTATTGTTTTATTTATAGATTTAAAAACTAAAAAAATGTTTTAGTATTAATTATTATTTTATAAGGCTGAAGGTGTGGTAACATGTTTAGCATGTAGCCACATTGGATTTATTTATGCCACGTAAGCTAAGAAGAGTCTTGGCATCCAAGTTGTAAAAAGGTAGGGAGTGGGAACGGGGTTAGTTTAATAAGTTTTAATTTTTTTAAAAAAAAAAGAAAGAAGGATCAGCCAATGAAAGCCAACCCTCTCTTCTCTCTCATCTCGTTGTGCCCATGGCGAGCTTCTTTCTTAGCGCGTCTAGCGACTTTGAAGGGGATGGTGTACAACGACTTTAGCGTTCCTTTGGCGAGGGATATAGCGTATCCACTCCTTTCAGCCTAATAACTAATAATCATAGGTAAAAAAATAAACATTATTATATAATCATGAACTAATTAAAGGTATAAATATAAAATTATAATCTAATCATTAGTTAGTTAAAGAAAAAAAATCAACTCTTTGTATCTATATTCCTTTCTACTTAAATGACTGCATAATAATTTTATATCTTTTATATAAAATTAACTCTTTTGTATCATAATTAAATAGTTAATTATAAACTAATGATAGATAGATTTTTTATAATATATAAATCATTATTATTTTTAAATCTACTTAATAAGACATTTTACAAAAAATATGTTATATAAAATTTTATAAAGTAATATAAAATATTATAAAGTATTTATAATATTTTCTTTTTGATATTTAATTTGTTTATTTTTTGACATTTTGTTTGAATATTTTTTTCAATACTTTTTAACGTTTTGTTTAAATATTCTTTTTTAATGTTTTTTTTAATGTTTTATTTGTCTATAGATATTTCAAGATTCTATTTTTATTCTTTTTATAATCTAACCATTTTTTAAACTCGAATTTATTCTAACAAAATAAATAGTTACTAAAATCTTTAAAAAATCAGATTAACATTTTTGAAAAAAGTGCTTTTTAATTGGATAAATATCTTGATTTTTTAAAAGTTATTCTTGTTTGTGCATATGTGTAACTAATTTTTTTAAAACTTATTCTCGTTTTTATAATTAATTTTTTATGAGTGGATTTTAAAAAAAATGTTTGGCGTTTTGTTAGAATATATTGTTTAATGTTTTTTTGTCGTTTTTTTCAGATATTGTTTAATATATATTCGAAAAAATGTTAAAAATTAAAATAAATATCTGAAATCATAAAGATAAATATAATAATAGTTAAAATTAAATAACTTATCACGACAAGCTAATATTTTTAAACGGATAAATATCCTTTTTTTAACTTATTCTTATTTGTGCATTTGTATAACTCCAAAAAAAAAAAAAATTATTATATTAAATAATGGATGCGAACAAAAATGTAAAACAAAACGTTATTTATTTATCTTTGTTTCTATAATCTAAAAAATCTTTTTTAACGGTGGATTTTTTTTAATTGTTTGATGTGGATTTTTATTTAAATGTTTGACGTTTTGTGATAGATTTTCTAGGAACGATAGATTCTAGAATGAAAATGTCATACGAAGATGTAAATGATTTGGATGAACACAACAAGGTAAATAAGATTTGTTTGCATTAGAGGTATGAGAGAACAATTTGTTACAACACTGAGAACTATTATGTGTCAAAAACTCTTACTTCTCTACTAACTAATGCTCCTATACATAGGCGTCAAAAGAGCAATAGAAAGGAATCCTAAGTCGACAACTCAGAAATGCAAACCTAAGATTAAATATACATTCTGAAATCGGAATTACAACAATCCATTTCGGAATCTAAGAAAAGACACTAAACATTACAAACGCATACAACTTAGACACAATCTAATTATGAACCCTAACAATCTCCCCTTTGTGTCAAGCTGTCATAGTGGTCTTTTCTTCCTCTTTCATCTTCACTTCAAATACCTTCGGAATAGTATTCAATAGAGTCATCCGAATGACTATCCACCATTTGATCATATTCGAAACACACTGTACATCTCCCACTTTATTTGTCTTGTTCGCTTCAGCCTTTGCAACAATTTGATTCAGAATAGAAGTAGAATACAAATGTTTATCCCTTAAGAACAGCAAGCAATGTTTCACCGCTTCTTTCTCCTTAATCTTGTAAGAAATTCCCCATTGTTCATTTTCAATTAATCCATATTGAAATTGATCAACTTCATCCGGAACTGGGAATGGTTTCAAAATTGGCTTCCGATTAAGAACATTTTCAATTTCAGTGTCCATGTTTGCAATTTCAAGGATATACGCCTGAATCATTCTTCTCAAAAATTAAAAGATGGGATCATACTTCACAACATCCTTTGCAACGATGTTAGACAAATATATCCAATCAAAAGGATTTAAGAATGGAATATCAGCCAATGAAAGTTCATGTAAAGTCTGACTGTGACCTCTGTAAACCTTTAAACCAACATTTTTAAAACAATCAGTAGCCATTGGTTTTCCAACTTTTAACGCTACAATTCTCTCCAAGCTCCAAGATTCATATTGAGGCTTTGTATTCTTCACATAAAAAGTGAACAAGTTCTTGTTTATCCCATTGTTCGACAGATGAGCTTTCTGAATTGAATCAAAACATCGAAATAGGAATGCCTTAGTAGTCATCGGAAAATCAAACTGACAGTCCATCTCGTTCTTAAATTCAAAGGAAGTCTGAGGCTCTAACCAAAATAGATTCGGATTATCAATGGCTTCTTTTTGTATCCGATCTATGGTCCATTCAGGGAACATAGCCTTCTTTGCATTAAGTGTCTCCTTATCATTCTTTTATGCTGCTTCTTCAACTTCAATCTTTTCCTTTAATGCGATCAACTCATCAAGTTGTTTATCACGTTTCATTTGTTCTTCCAATTCACTTTTAGACAATTTTGGATTCAAATCATCTCCATGTTCCGAAATGATATTCACTTTTCCTTTTCCTGATCCGGAAGATACATTACCCTTCCGAAAAAATGTCACTTCTTTGAGATTTTTCGATTTCTGCTTCAAAGTTTGCTTTCCAAGAACTACTTTTGCAACATTAGACTTAGCCATTTTTCCAGTTTCATAGGGATTTCGTAAATTAGCTTCTGGAATCTCATTGTTAACAGGAGCTGCATCTTCATTTGCTTCATGTGTATCTTCATTTGCTTCTTGTTCTCCTTCCTTATCTCTCCCTTGTTGCCGAGTAGCCAGGCTACGTGTAACATCCAAGACTTCATTTAACTTTGAAAGAACCGACTCCATTTTTCCATCAATCATTTGTGAAGTATAGTCAGCATAATAAGCATCCTTAGTCTCAACAATTTTGACCTGACGCTGATTGATTTCAAAATTCTGACCTTTGACCAAGAGCAATTCTTCATTCACCTTGTTAAGCTTAATCATAGCATGCTTCAGTTGTTCCTTTTGGACTTTGATTTTCTGAGTTGCTTCAGCAAGAGCATCCATGACCTTATTTTCATGAGCAATATCATTTTGCATCCTCAAGATTGAGTTTGCAATGGATGTATGATGACGTATATTATCACGTTGAAGCCCATAACGAAGATTGGAGAGAGCTTCTTTCTCAGATTGAAGAGATAAGTGAAATCCTTCAATAACCTTGTTAACTTCCACAACATTCTTATCCGAGGAAGTTTGAAAATTTCTCATGAACTTTTTCATATCAAAAGTCAGTTCCTTAATATCAGAAACGATTATATAGTTTTTGGCTTCAGCTTCTACAATTTTTTAATTGAATCTACATCTAACTTCTTTTGATTTTCAAAGATATTGGCATTGGATTGAGTGAGCATTTCAATGGCTGCTTGATGAGAAGTAACCATATTTTTTCAATTTATAGTAGATAAAGAGTTTGTATGAAGAAGAATCTGATCAATCTTCTTATTCAGATCATGAAATTCACCACGAGAAATAGGAGCAGATAACCCAACCTCATCATCAGTTTCAACTTGAAAGTTAAAATTAGGAATAGAAAAATCTTCCAGTGATTCAGGTTCATCACCAACAATAAAGACTTCATCACAACTTGGAGACAAAGGTGCAATTGAAGTTTATGGGGGTTCCGAAGTAGTCACACAAATGTTAACATTTTAGTCCACATTAGATGTGTTCTCGAGGATGTTTGAAGTCCTATTCTCCTCCTTTTCGGATTCGAAAGTAGGAACTTATGGTGGAGTATCGACTATAGGTGTTGATTGAGATACAGATCGCGTCGTTGTAGAATCAGAGAAGATCGGAGATGGAAATGGTAAAGTTGTTTGAACAATTGATATTGGTTCCGAAATTGATTTCAAAAGAGGTGGTAAGGAAGATCCAATCGGAACAGATGTGGATATCGGAAATGGTGGTGGTGGTGTTTGAGAAAGATTAGTTATTGGTTATTTCAAAATATTCTCATAAACATTATAATCAGGTGGAGTCGATAATGGTGTAGAAGGTTTTGGAATTTCAGTAGAAGCAATAGGTTTATAAGTCGTAGGAGGGACTTCGTAAGTGTGTGTCGTATCATCATCATGAACAAAAGAATCTTCTCCCATAATCTTGCTTTGAGTCTGATCATCAGAATCTTCATCAATCACCATTCGCTTATGCTTTGGTTGTTGTTGTTGCTTCTTTTTCTTAGGAACACCTCCAATAGCTTGCAATTTCCTTTTTCCTTCTCTTTTTGGCAGATCAATAGTTGCAAGAGCTGTTTGAAGAGAATCATAAATTTCTCAAATCCCAAAGTTTGGAATTTTTCGATAAAGCTTAATGGTTTCGTTGTCAAAAGGAACCCTAGACAACATCACTTATGGAATAGAACCAATAAAATAAAAGTTCTTTGGATCAAAAGTAACAGATGTAGATGTTTGCATCTTAGGAATTGCAGCAATCACAACATCCTTCATTGTTAGTACATGGTAATGATCTAAGGCACGACGAACGACGAACGACAATTGATCAAAAGATAGCACAAGAGATTTCAGAATCTTTGGTGTTAGAGCTCACACTCTGATCGAACTGGTTCCAAACAATAGTTCCATAATCGATATTCTCTCCGGAAAAGAACCCATAGATCAAATTATAGAAAGTCCTGCTTTCACTATTTGAACCAGTAATTCTTTCCGATAAACACTTGAACGGTAAAGTGAACAATGCATTCCAAATAGGAGGCAATCTAGATTTCTTGAACTTAGATAATAAAGAAAGATCAGAGTTGTACCCCATTTGATGAAACATAGAGAAGAGACTAAAAATAGCCACCGATTTAGGTTGAATAACATCAGTTTAAGAAGAAAACCCTAGAACCTTGTAGAAATGCGCTTTTGAAATTAAAGTTTTGTGCCCATGAACTTCAAAATTGATCACCTCTTGAGTACTATGATAGATAGCAGTTCAATATGCCTCAGATAAGGAAAACAAAGGAACCTTCTCGAACATTGACAGAGCCTTCATCAATGGAGAATACTTGAGGCATTCGATCAAAGGGCGAATAAAAAGATTGTGCTTCGAAGCTTCCAAATAGGCCACCAGATTTTGGTTAACCTTGATCTTCAACATAACGGTTGAATCATTTTTATCCATGAAGGAAATATTTTCAGAGGAATCATCCATTTAAGGATGAAGAAAGCTTGCAGAGAATTGAAGAATAATGGAGAGAATTGCAAAAGACTGTGTAAACTTTTGTGAGCGTAAAGAACAGAACGAACAACTCTTTAGTTTTATATATGCTTGGATACCCAAATGGTTTTTTATTTGAATTTGAACGGGTTTAGGAAAAGTGGAGAGAGAAATCTTCATTCACGTATTTAATTCCTGCCAGCCCACGTCAGCCAAGAATTCGCACGCCCATCATGTATCCAATAAAGGCCCAATAGAAAACTGCCAGCTCATGAAAAAGTGTATCCGTTTTGGATGCCGTTTAAAATTGATAAAACGTCATCACTGAGTTTTAAAATTCGCGCCTTGATTTGATTATTGAAACATTCCATTTTTTTGCAGAAGTTTCATAATCACTAATCCACCCTTTAGCTATGCATAAACCAAAATAGAATCCATTGGAATTACGATTAGAATTATCTTTGCCATCAATTGTAGTAACCAAGGTTAAGAAGAGTTTTATCTAATAATGGGAAGAATGACTTGAATCATTAACTAGACTTTGTGAAATCTTGTTTCATATTGGTTTTATCTAAGACCTCAAGGATTTCAAGTGATGTGTGTGAAGGTGTTAGAGAAATTAGAATTTGGAAATTGGAAAGGTTGTTGGTGCATCACGTTATCTTACCGTGATAGTAGGCGATCATTGCACATAATTTTATAACACCATAAGTCCCAAATTGTTTTTATCTTAAACCTCAGGGATGTTATGCGAAATATGATAAAGATATGAACGAAAGAAATGGATAAAGTGATGATACCGTCAATTCCTTTTGGTAATGATTTGTGGATCTCACTCTTCATTGTGGTAAAAACAATGAAAAGATCATAAACACATAATTTTGTAAGCATATATCAAATTCGTTTTACTTGATAATCAAGGGATTACGCGGAGATTGAAAATAGATATGGTAGAAAGAAAATATGAAATGAAGTTGGTACATTAAAACGCTAGATAGTATTATCCGTCAATTCCTTCAGTTTCAATCTAGAATTCATAAAAGAATTCACCGTCAATTCGTATTTTGGAAACGCGTTTCTCATGATTTCATGGTAATAACGAAAATGATCATAGAAACAATTTTCACGAAACCTCATTCCTAGTTGGTTTAGACTTAGAACATCAGGGGTTAAGTAAAAATCATTGTTGAGATTTGACAATCCATAACAAAAATAAAGAAAATCTTTTTGGATTTTCTAAAATTTTGAAATTTAAAGACAAAAATAAAGAAATATTTTTGTATTTTTGAAAATTTTGAAATTTAAAGACAAAAATAAAGAAAATATTTTTGTATTTTTGAAAATTTTGAAATTTAAAGACAAAAATAAAGAAAAGAAAGTTACCTTAATACAAAAGATCGTACCCTCTCGCAACTAAGAAGTATCTACAAGAAAGAAAAGAAGTTTAGAAAGGAACAGTAAATTCCGACAGCATCCGATGATCGGAACAATTTGGAAATAAAAGATAAAAAACTGAAATGAACAGTGAAATCCAATGACTTCCAACGCTCGAAACTTTTTGGAATTAACAATTTGAATTTCGAGATGAATAGTGAATTCTGATGGCTTCCGCCGATCAGAACATTTCGGAATTATGCAAATGATTTCGGAACCGATTCAGCCTCTATCATTCCGAGCCCTCGAAGAATCCGACTGAAAGAAACCTCCGGTAAGGATTTTGTAAATATGTCCGCCAATTGATTTGCTGATCTAACAAAATAAACTTCAATGTTTCCGTATTCAACATGATCTTTTATAAAATGATATCTTAAAGCGATGTGTTTTGTCTTAAAGTGCTGAACTGGATTGTAACAAATACGAATTGCACTTTCTGAGTCACGGTAAAAAGGAATCTTCTTCATGCTAATTCCATAGTCTCTTAATTGACTTTGTATTCAAATTATTGGAGATGTGCATGAAGCAGCTGCAATGTATTCGGCTTCAACAGTTGAAAGTGAAACACATGTCTGCTTCTTTGATTGCCAACTTATAAGTTTTCCATCCATAAACTGACAGCCACCTATAATACTTTTCCAATCAAGCCCACAACCTCCGAGATCAGCATCTGAGAAAGCATGTATGAAAAATTCAGAATTAGTTGGATACCATAGACCAATAGATGATGTTCGCTTTAGATATTTAAAGATATTTTTCACTGCTAGCATATGTGGCTCTCGAGGATTAGCTTGATAACGAGCACAATAATACATAACAAACATAATGTCTGGTCTACTTGCAGTGATATACAAAAGCGATCCAATCATTTGTCGATATTGGGTAAGATCTGCAGCAGGTTTATCAAGAGTTGGAGTGAATTTTGTTCTGAATGCCATGGGGATTTTCACTTTTGAATCACCTGTCATTCCAAATTTTGTGAGTAATGATTTAGAGTAAGCCTCATGATTAATGAAAATACCTTCCTTAGTCTATTTTATATTTAACCCAAGAAAGAAATTTACCGGTCCCATCAAACTCATTTTAAATTTAGTTTCCATCAATTTTCAAAATTCACTAGTCAACGAAGGATTAGTGGATCCGAAAATGATGTCATCAACATAAATCTGAACAATCATAAGATTTTCACCTTCCTTCTTACGAAAGAA